TAATTAGTTGTCTAGCTAGCTAAGCTACTAATTACTAGTAGGAACTAAGAAACAGTACGTAACTATTACTATGTAATCTTTTAATCATTCATTGGTATTATGAGCACAGCACTAGCTTAAATTGAGATGAAAACATAATAAATCTTTTAAAATAACCATAAAAATAATCAAATCTTAAATGAGGTTATATTCTAAGCTTATAGGTTATATTCTAATAATTTCTTGAAGGAACTAAGAAACAGTACGTAACTATTACTATGTAATGTAATATTTTAATCATATTCATTGGTATTATCAGCACAGCACTAGCTTAAATTTGAAATTGAGATCACTGGGTGAGTAATCAAAAAACTAAAAGTGAAATATAATCAGATCTAAGACAAATAAAAAATTATCTTAGGAAATACGCTTTTAGGAAAACCAGAGCATTGATGGACTCGTCTGACAGTCTGTTTCTTATTTTGGTTACTATGTTGCCGGCTAAACTGAAAACTCTCTCATTTTCAGTTGAGGTCGGCTTCACTGTCAGCAACGCTTGGAATAAATTCTCCAGGTTAGGTGTTCGTTTTCCTGTAGACTCCAATATGCTGAACTCTTTCTTGATGATATTTCTCGTTATTTGAGCATTTGAACGTTCCACAGGAGCGCTGTCAACTTTTGTGAATGGTTTTTTGGAGCATTGCATCAAACGAACGACTATCTGCTTCACCATCACCAGTCTCGCTTTCACAGTCTGTGGCTGCTTCTGAACTGCTCGGAAACAGTCGGTTGTATAATCCTTCGGTAAAGCTTATCAAAGCCGTTTTACTGATGTTATTGACGCTTGTATATGCTGAGGGATCGTGCAAATACTTGATCAGTGAAATTAAATTCACGTTACGCCTGCCTTCTATCTTGGTGTTGAGATTTTCGAGAAACCGATTGGCCAAGTTATTTTCCGTTTCCATGGACTGTAATTTCTGAATCAGCACGTTCAGAATAGCTTCAGAAGTCAGGATCGTCGCGTCTTTTCGGGAAAGTGCTTCTACTGATAGCTTTACTGGGTGTAGTACGTCTAGCAGTAATTGCAAGACACTGATGTTTTCTTCGTGCCATTTCGACATCATGTTTAGGTCAATCAAAGCCTTCTTCAAAGGATTCTTCAGTTTTAAAAACCTTTCAATCATTTCCATCATTGAGTTCCATCTTGTTCGTACATCTAGAATTAAATTAAGCTCGTGGCCCATCTCTTCTTTAACATACTTTTGCAAGGTTATGTTTTTTAAGGGACTTTTACGGAATAGTTTAACCAGTACCCTTGTATCTTTCAGTGCTTTATGGATATTCTGAGAATATTGCATTTGCATATCTGTCGTCTCATCAGATTCGTCTTCGCAGTCATCATCATCGTCGCTTTCTTCTGATTCTGATTCATGTCCATGATCTACTCTCATCCTGCTGTTGGAAGGAACATTTTGTTTTTCTTCGTCGTCATTGCAGAATGTGGCCACAACCGACAGGTGAATAGCGTGGTTGTTGCAAAGAACCATCTCCGTGGGGCTTTCACGTCCGAATTTGATCATGACGTTTGGTCCGTCAGAAGTTACAGCCACAACGTCATGTTCGAAACTCAGACCGAACTCCTCCAGACGTTTTTCGATGATTTCTCTTGTTTCATTGGCACCACATCTTCCAGGAATCAATACGAGCCCCAAGTTGTAGAATTTTCCGCCTGTGTGATGCACGCAAATATTAAAATATCTACGGTTTCTCAAACTCGTCCATTCATCAATACTCAGACTGAATCTAGCCGCATGACCATCCTTAAGCTTTCTTAACTCGCGAAAAGAATCAATGGTTTTTTGTTTCTTCTCAGCATAATAATTTAATATTAGCTTCATAACATCAGACTCATTGCTGGGTAATTTGAAGCCTTTGTGCTGAATTGAGTCTCGTATAAAGTCGCTTCTTGTGATTTGCCGTATCGATAGCCCATCTTTTGCGGCTAGGCGTGATATGATTTCGCCAAGGGTCTCCTGCTTTTGCTTTGTATAATTCAAGATAGTTTGGACCGCTGATTTAGATTTTTTAACCTGAGTAGGCTGGATCTCAATTATATTATCATCACGTTCACATGAGCTGGTTGAAGGTTCAAGTTCATTTACATATTTCAAAGTTATGTTATGGATCTTGTCAAGGTGTCTGACTAAACCAGACGTATTAGAGCACTTGATTAAAAGCTTTTGGGGCACTTAAGACACTGTGCGGCCATTTCACCTTTGACTTTTGTGAAATATTTCCATACTTTTGACCTCTCCTTCTCCATTATTTGACTCTGACTAAAACAAAAATAAAGTTATTTACACCTTGATTACCATTATTAACCATAAACAAAGTGATAATTATTTTTTATTTAATATTAATTATTAACCGATAGCAACTTGCAAGATCATCTGTTAAATCGTGCGCACTGGCAGGTCTGGCAGCCACCGCGCTGTGCCGTTCGGCATCGGAATAAATCAGAATGTTATCTATCAATAACAACATCATTTAATATGATAAACAATCAACCGATAAATAAATAAAAACATTTTTCACTGTTACTGATATTGGCAACATTTGAGATTTGACACTAGCGCAAAAAGTTGGAATACAAAATGCTACCTTTTTCTGAAAAATAAAAAAAATCACGCTTTGCCCGCGCGCAATATAACTTTGTTAATAGCTGTTGTAAAAACAAGTATACCCTTGAATCTACATAACCGCGTTTCAATTAGTGTCTCCCAACACTGATTAAAAATGCTAGCAAAACAAACAAAAGTCTACAGAAAAGGCACGGATAGCGACTTGTTTACGAATATGTAGTAACGAAAATGCATGCAATAACTGGTTTATTATTCTTATTATACAAATACTTTGAGAAATAGTATTATCAAATACTTACATGAAACTGTCGACGCTCTGAATTAACCGTCTTGGACAGGCAGACCACTAAAAACGACCGACAAGAACGACACGAGCTTCGACTTCCAATCTGAGCGGGAGACTGACTGGCTGAGGCCTGAGCGTGGGTGGCGCATGGGGTGAGCTGGTTGGCTGACTGGTTACGTAATACACACGCATGGTATGCGTGTGTGTTTTTGCGTATCGCGTGTCTGTGTGAGTTAGTGAAGCCACAAGCACGCAGTGAACGCGAGTTGTTGTTACGCGGCGCGGGAAAGTTTGAATTGAATATTCTTATTTTTTTTTTCAAGGCTCGAGAATTTCTCGAGTCTTGAGATTTTTTTCTCGTCTCGAACCAAGGCGAATTTCTCGAATCTTCACGAGCTCGAGAATTCTCGAGCAGAAACCCTAGATACAACCCTGTAGCACGAAACCCATTCGAGATATTGGTAATAGTCATACATTTCGGCTATACTTGTGAGAGAATGACATTGAAGCTTGTTTTGTTAAGGGTTCGTTCGGGATGCTGACTGATGTATTTAATGAGCTCTTGGTCCCAATGGTGTTCAAAAGAACGATAAACAGATTTATCCATGGGCTGTAACTCATGCGTGGTGTTTGACGGAAGACAATATAAAGTAATGCCACATTTCTCAGCTTCCTCGACAATAGTAAAGTTCAGGTGGCATTTTGCACCATCGAATATGAGAAGACATGGCCCTGATGTTCTGTATTTATGCAAATGATTAATAAAGTCTATGAAAGTTTCTGTCGTCATACTTCCTTTTGGCGTCATCTTTACTAGAGAGCCTGGTGGTAAATTATCTTGGAATTCTGGCTTTAGTCGCTTGCCTTTAAACAGTATCATTGGCGGAACGGCTGACCCTATAGCATTTCCACATCCTACCACAGTCACACTTTCAGCATGCTCATTCGCTATTTGATGAACTCTCTTTCTCCCTTTGGCTGTCAGAACTTCCTGCTGGTGGTGCAAAGATATGCGACAATTTTTTTCATCGATGTTGTAAATGCTTTCAGGTTTATGTTCAATCCCAAGTCTATCCACCACGCTTTTGTATTTGGAAAAGTAATCGCCAACATATCTTTATTTAATTTTTGAGCACGTGCTGGATTCATCATCTGTGCTTTACGACGTGCTAATTCAGGGTGTCGTTTGAGAAACAACCTCAACCATTTCTTCCCCGCTACATTCTTGGAATCATTGAAAGTGTTTGGAATTTTCTTAATTTTACAGAATGAAAAAGCCTGTACGCGCAACATCTTTGAAGTCATCGGCATTCCTACATCAGCCAAACGTATGATTCTTCTGACAAGTCCAGCTTCTTGTTCTGTAGTCAATGTAGCCGACCGACCAAGCTTTCGTGTAGTCGAACCACTCTTTATATGGTTGCGTAGGGTTCTTCTTGGGATGTTGTATCTGGCTGCAGCAGCATATGTAGGTAATATACCCCTTTCTACCATTTTAACAGCGATTTCCATCTGTCGCGTAGTCCATTGAGCCCTTTTTTCCTTGTGGTAGAACCAGTTTCCATGATGTTACTGAAAAACAATGGTTTACTATTTTACTGTGATACTTTTCTAACTGACATAAAACATTGTCCTAATAAGGCCTATACATTTTTTTATAGGCTTTATTAGGGCATGGCACATGGGTAAACAAAACAACAATTGTATGGAATACATCGATATTACAGCTTTTTCACTTATATGAGGAGATGGCTAAACTTATAATTATCCTATAGACAAAACACAGCACACCATGTACGAATAAAAATAAAAAGACTTACTGTTTACTCTGCCAGAATTTTATAAAAACAAGCGTGCGCTCCGCGTCGTGGTTGTTTTCGACTACAGGTTAGAACACGCTCGCGGCATGAGCCGCTTGCAGCGCTTGTGTGCGTTAGTTAATGTATACGCACACATCTATAAACATCGGCGGCCATTTGAAATCGTGAAGCGGGAAATTTGAAAAATAGGCCTTATTAGGACATAGGCCTTATTTGGTGACCTTACCTTACAGGAAGTTTTGGCTATGTGAGCATATTCGGCTGGAATGTTTATTTTCTTTTTTTTTTAATTTTTCTTTCAATAACAGAGTGCATACTATCCGGTTCCATTCGTGTATGTCCTTTTTCGAGAATTTTTTGTACAACCTTGACTTTCTTTACCATTGAAAAATTTAGCAGAGCATTCGATAAAGTGGAACTCCTGTTCTGGTACGTGCACCCATCACTAAATAAAACAATTTCTGAGCCTTCTGGAATATTATTCTTCTCGATGAATAATTCTAACATTCTAATAATAACAGAGGCAAACTCATTTGCTGTTAACCCTCCTTCAGTCTCGGTCCAAATAAAACAATAGCCTTCACCCCTTTTTATGTCATATCCAGTAAAATTATGAACGGCAAGTTTTGTTTTAAAATAAAGTGTGGAAACATTTGATCTAGGACATAATTGTACTGCTTGCAAGTCCATAGTAAAATCTTTTGTGCTTTTCTTGTTGTTTTCTTTTTCTACTCTTGCACTTTCTTTTTTTTTATATGACACTTGTATTCTTCCTCACTTACATTCTTGGTCTTGTATTTCTCGCAAAGATCGCAAGCGTCTTTTTGTGGCTCATATAGGCTTAAATTAATTTGTTCAAAAACCTCACTAAATGTCGCAATGCTAACAGGATCGCAGTTATTATCTTTGCAGAACTCGTTATTGTAAACTTTCAAAAGTTGAGCTTTTGACTCCCATAAAGTTTCAAGGTACAATTTTGAAGTCTTTACGACACTAATGGCTTTCCATTTTGGCAGTAATTCAAGAAAACATTCTTTATTTTTTCCCACGTTTCTTTATTTGGTTTTTTCTTTCTTTTTTTTCTGTTGGTTGTATATCATCAGAATCATTAAACGTCAAAATACTTGGAGAGATAACAAGGTTGGGGTTCGATGTTACGTAACATATTTTTATCAGAAGTACAAGGATTAAATAATATCATGTGTTTGTCTTTAGTAAGCATTATATTTTTAGGATTGCCTACTAAAGTTTTAGAAGTAGGTTTTTCTGCTTCTTAAAGATAAACTGCCATCATCATTGACGACATAATTGGTCTCTTCAATGACGTCCTTCTTAGAGTACTGATGGGTGTCTGTACTTTCTAAGTTCTCGAATATTTTTTTAATACGTCCTTTATATTGAAAGTTCATTCTGAAACCAAGCAAATGAAATTACTGTAGACTATGAACAATATCTTAACCATAAATTAATAAATGGGTCTTTCTACGTTAAAGGAGCATCTAATATTAAGAAGAGTGGCACGATATAAATATTTGAAATAACATATTTTTCCAATAAAGAACTATGTAAACAGATATTTTGTATACTTGTTGAAGATGGCCAGTTAGTTTATCTATTTTTACAAGAGTTTTTACGTACCAGGGGAGATACAGGATCCAGGGTAGAGACATGAAGGCCAGAGTAGGATACTTTACCTTACAGGGGAAATATACATTGAAAGAAAAACAATTTTATCCGTAAGAATCAACTTTAATATTAAACTTTATGTAATAGTTTACAACTATAAGAACAGACTTAAATTTCAATACAGTCTTTTAATGTTACTATAATTATTAGGACATAGAAAACAAAATTACTAACAACAAGTATCTACTAACAAAAATCACAGTATTTTTTTCTATTCGTTCTTAAAGAAAATACTTAAATTATTTAATGGCACATAAGTTGCATGTAATGCGATGCGATATAAAAATATAGAGCATGAATACTCTGTTAAAACATAAATATAAATTGGAACTTCCATTTAAAGAAATAAAATCATATAAAAAGATAAATGAGATCATGGCTTTTCAAATACGTTAATACTTTAATAATTGCTTGCATTTTCGGAAACAGTGGCACAAGGCAGAGAAGATTTTTGTAGCTGCTTTGACAGTCTGTAGTTGATTAATGGCTCGTCGTCAGATTCAGACCCAAAGACATTGTCAACATTAAGGCGCGGTCTCGTATTCTTTGTTGCAAATTTCATGGTACCAAGCACAAAGTGATTGCAGGCCTCAGGATTGCAGAAGCAACTCAAGCTCTTCATCGTTAAGCGGTTGGGTAGAAATATACTTCCTGTTACTTGATGGACCTTCATGGTACCTGAGAAAGCTTTCAAATCTTCAGTGTTAAGTTCCTCTTCGTTCTTTAAAATGTCATCGTCACTAATAGTCACCACTTTTATATTGGGACAGTTTTTTTGGAGGGCGTTCGTGAAATCTTCCAGCGATGAAATGTCGTTCCCAGCTCCAACAATTCTATCCGCAGTTCTTTTGCACGTCGCACCTACTCCATCAGGAGCTCCCTTGCCGTGACCAGCTTCGTGGTAATTCCATGTGAAGTTTATGACATTTGGGTAAAAATCATGTAATTTTGTTGCCAATGCATGGAACATGATTTTATTTCGGTATTGTGTGACCGGCCCATCACTTAGAAAATGCAAATTGGTTACTTCTGTGGGAAGGCTGTCAAGTATGGGCTGCAAATGTGCCCAAATAGCTGGCGGAGAGTGAGACAAATTTTTGGAAAGAGTGCAATAACAGGAGCATTTTAATTCTCCATTATTTTCTTTGGTGTAAACCACAACCGTATGGATACTTATCTGCTCTCTCGATCCTCCGAAATGAAACGATTGCACTTCTTGAGCGTATTTTGTTTGATAATTCTCACTGAAATCAACGTGAATAATAGCATCTTGCTCTGTCAGTGTTTCCTTTTTTGATTTTATAGCCATATATTGATGCACTATATTCAATTCGTGTCGAAGCAAGATTTCGGTTTTACTTTGCAGGTCTAAAATTAAATCTCGGGGGTATATTTCTATTGTATTTTTTCGCCACTTCATAACTTTCCGTGTCTTTTTAGTTTTCATATCGAAATAATCTTGAAGTACAGATTGCCACTTTTTATAGAGTAGTGGATGAGAATTATCAAATTCTTTGTAGTAGAGGTTTTTGTTAATACAGGTCTCACATTGTCTCGAAAGACATTTTTCGTCGTATCTGTCGCAACAAATTGTATTTAAAAGACCCACGTAGTTTGACACCGATATTATCTTTGCTTGGTGTAGAGAATTTAAAATCAAATCAATGTTATAATGCGTTACACACAAGCAAGTGTCACGTTTGTCATAGCGCGACTGGACAACCCAAAAGGGACGGAACTTGCAGAAAAGTGCATAACAAATTTTAATGTTGGACTTTTCTATGAAAAGTTTGTGCAAGTTTATTAAGGTATCCAACATAACTCGTTTCTGTTTTCTCACTCCTTGTTTTGTTATAACGTCTTTTTTACCGGCACAGACTCTACTATTTGAATCTTCTTCCATGAAATTTTCAATCTTTTTTTTCAAAATGATAGATTTTTTCCATTCCTTTCGCTTTTGTTCGATTAATGTTAGTTTCTGTTTTCTTTTTTTTACAGGCTTCAGTTTCTTTTCTTTTTCTAAAACTCTGTATTTTGTCACCAATTTTCCGCTTATCATTCTCTGAAACAATCTTTTCTCTTTTTGGGTTGAAAGTTCCGAAAAATTATCTTTTAATTGTTGAGTAAGAACTTCTTCACATAATAATTTTTTCTTGACAATATCTCTCGATTGTGGAGAATTAAGTATCTTGTCAACTTTTGAGTTTGGAGTTAGCTTTTTATTTGGTTTGTTGGATCTTTGAAGTTGTTTTTTATAACGTTGTACAGTTGATTTAAGTTTAGCTATTTGAGCAGCCTGTTTTTTTATCAATAAATTTCTTGCACGCCTTGCACGGATCGACCTCTGCCGTCCAGCTTGCATTCGTTGGTTATTATTTTCATTGATAGGGACTTCATTGTCTGAACTAGGTGGGGTTACAGGGGCATTACTAATATCTTGAAGTGCTAAACGTCGTCTCCGTTGTTTTGCTTTTTCTTTCCATAATTTTCTAGCTTTTCGTTTTTCTCTGGGTATCATTTGATTTACAGTCTTAATAGTTCCTTTTTCTTTTTTTCTTTCATATTTCTTTTTTTCCTTTTCTTTCTGCTGCGCATACTTTTCGGGATCATTTTTTATGCGTTGGTACCGCAATCTTTCAGCCACACGCTTCTTTTCTAAACGTTCCTCACGAGTTAGTTTTTTTCGGGGAGCCATGATCTAAAATAAAGAGAAATTACAGCTTAAAGACATTAAATATGTTATTCGTGGGATATTTTATAGCCACACACATAATTATTTTAAGTCAAGCCTGTCCAAATAGGCAGCAAAATAGCGTATAAAACTCCGAATATAAAACTACTACATAGTGTAGAAGTAACGTACACCATAACTCAAATTAAAAAAAAAACGTATTTATGTTAACAAATCACTCTTTTACGAAAGATAAATATGTACAATACTAAGAAAGTACTGATATGGTACTTTCGTATTTACCCTGGATGTAAGGTCTCTACCCTGGCATTTCATGAGGCAGGGGAAATATGGCAGGGTAGAGACGTTTTCATTGAAAAAAGGATACTATCAGAAAAGTATGTACTGTTACGCAAAAACAAACTAACACGGTAAACTAGGCAGAAATTAAAGTAATAACAAAATACAAACAAACTTTTAGTATGAATAACAATTCAATAAAACTTACCAGTGGAGAGATGGCACTGACTGACACATCCGCGCGAAACGAGTGGCGTGGTCGGACTGTCCGCCAATGAGAGCACGCGATTCGCTCGGATGACGTTTGTAGCTAAGTTCACTTTGAAACAAATGCTCCAAGACTTAAATTTGCTACACCTTCGCACTTAAACGCCATTTTTAAAAGGATGTCCAAAAATGTCCAGGGGAGGAGACATAAAATACGAGGGACAAAACTTGCGTTATTTTTAAAAATAGAAATTATGTTTATTTTTGAGTTGATTTAAGTATTCAAAATGATTGATTACGCATCTTTTTGAAATAAATAAAGCTCAGAACAGGATATATAAGAAATGTATTAAATTTCAAAAACTCTGTTACAGAATAGTAAAGGGACAGGCCAGGGTAGATACTTTTTTATCGGTTAACATGCAATTATACCCAAACTAAGCTAATTTAGATATTGCAATTAAGTGGTATCATAGTATTTGTTATTTACTATAATTTATTATTGTCATTTCCTTCAAATTTTCAAATAATGTATGATTTTTTAATGTTGACACCTATTGTCCCTCTTAACGTAGAAATACCCAAATGTTTTAGGTATAGGTAATTATATTTTTGTATTTATAAGAAGCCCGGAGGTTCTAGAACTTCCATACACAGACGGAACATAGAAAATGTTATGGCGTCAGACTTTGGCGGAAGAGAAGGTACTCGAGACCCGGGTTTACCTTTACCAATCCTACTACTGCTGTGGAGTCCATACCAGGGGTGGACCGCTGGAGGTAGATCCCAATGACTCATCTCAAAAACATACTGTGTTAAAGCTATC